AAAAACATATTAAAAGCTGCCATTAAGTTTTCACTTATTCTAAATTATCTCCCCTTGAAAGAGGGATTGGTCCTTTATTTGAACAAACTTAAATCCCTTTCTCCCAAGGGTGCTTTGCGACAGACGACATGCGGAAACGGGACACTCTTTGATTAGAAAAGCTCTCTTGGGCCATCAGCTCAGGGGAGCTGAAAGGAAAACGGAAATTTGCAGTGTCCAGTCCACTAAATTTGGAATTGTGTGGCTGATGGGTAATGCACATGCTTTACTTGTAAATGTACACGTCAACTGATAAAGACTTTAAAAGGGAAACATAAATTATATTACCAGACATCAGACATAAAAAAACTAGTTGTGTAGTGACGGTGTAAACACAGCAACGTTTTACGTGAAACAACATCCAACAGGAATGTCTCGAATTCTGACCTTTTTCATTTTGCGACTTCATGTTATATAAATTTATTTAGGCGTTATCATACACACAAATTTATCATTTATTTCATAGGGTTTTTTTTTTACATATACAGGTGAACTTCGGTATCTCGAACACCGATATTTTGAATACAATGGATATGTCAAAGTGATTTTAAAGTCTCAAGTACTTATTCTTTAAGTATTCTACCCTAGATATCTCGGATCCTCGGATATCTTAAAGTTTTTTCTCGATCCCATCGAGTTCGAGATAACGAGGTTTATAGTAAAAGAAACTATATTTATATTGTTTAAATGGATTATGATCGATAATAATGTTCGTTATCTCCATATTTTATTTGAAAAAAAAACCAACTGTACGAAATACAGTTATAGTCTATTTAAACATTACAAATCGGGAGCAGAGAAAAAACGGAGCTTCAAAATAAAAAAAATCAGAGGCGGGATTAGGTGCCATGGAGGAGGAAGCATCCCCTGTCGACCGGTCACACCCGCCATTTGAACCCTCTCATGATCGTTTAAAAGATGGCCTAACAACAAGTACGAAAAAGTAAGTCCTTTTGTCCTAATGATAGACTGTATTTGCTGATAAAGTCATTGTATCGACCATAGAACTTGCGAAATGATGATATGAAACCAGACTGTTGATATCCTTGTTTCATTAACTTGTTGGTCAATAGCTTGCCTCTTTTTTAAAATTGATCGTACGTAGAGCATGCTCTTGGAATTGCGTATCGAATCCACTGGGAGATACAAACTCCATATGCAGGTGATAAGAGTATATTACTACATAAATAAGGAAAATTGACGATAGAAAAGTTGAAGTCATCACGTTTATCATAAAGTGTTGTTGTTAGGTTACCTTTAACGTCTTTTTCTAGTAAAATTTCCAGTTATTTGATAGATGTGTCAGACTTTGTGGTGTCTTTTATTTCAAGTTCACTGGAATATATTGAATCAACATATGAATGGAAGTAACTATTGATAATTGATTATGCGTCGTCGATATATCAAAATGTCGAGTTGAACGCCGCAGCAAGCGTTTTCGTCTTCTCATGTAGAAGTTTTTGAATTTATTCTGCTTCATATGAATACAAACATAGTTCTGCTAATTTAATGTCATTCCCAATAAGATATAAAACAGCAAAAATGAAAGTTTAATCTATAACTTAATGAAAGTCTCTGAAAACGAGACTAATCAACGATCAGTGCACTAAAATGATACTTTGTTTGAATAAATATCTATATAAGTATATAAATCTGTATATAGAGAAACCTTAATTACCACAAAAGCAAATAAATTTAAATATTTTATTATAGGCAAAAGATTAAACATCAGCAAGTCTTTTTAATCTAATTTCTTTTGGTATAAACAACTTTGTTAAGACACACACTGAGGAATCATCATTATTCTGGAGAACCAATGTTCGTGGATTTCGTTGGACTCCATCATCTACGAATTTACATTTCCACAAACAAATATTATGTCAACGTCTGTATTCATTTTATATCATATATAGAAGAATTGCCCACGAAATTACGTCCACTCGAACCATTTTGTTTGCCCACGAACATTGAACCCCATCAAAATAATTCCACAGTAATACCCAAACAGAAATTAATTTTATAAAAGTTTCAGTAAGTTTGGATATTAAAGAATGATAACATCTGATGTCCTTTTGATTAATATTACTATCATCTTCTTTTTGGATTGACTACTGAATATATTTACCCGTGGTTGTCTTGGTTCATGCATTACTTTATATGTTTCTCACATGTTTGAGACCATTTAAGATCATTCATTAAAACACTACACACGTTGCACTAAGTATCAAAAGGACAAACTAAGCTTTCTTTACTTCTACACATTTTGATTGCATTGAATTATCATAAAAGTTTATATGCGTTAATAGAATATACATTATTTGCATGTAATTTCCATTTTATAAGGAACAAATACATACACAAATTCACACTTAAAAAAATAAAAGATATGCTACTTCCCTGTGTCAAACTTTAAATGCAATACGTTCAAGTTTTATTGTAAGTTGTAATCTTCTGTGTGATGAAGTTCAGGTTTTGATGTCCAGCTCTTAATTTTCTGAATCTATAAAAAAATTAATTAATTAATTAATTAAAAGTCATACAGAACTTTACAGAAATCAAAGAGAATCATTATTTTATAAAAATATCAACCTAATAGCCCAAAACATATCTATTGATATTCTTTTTTAAAAATACTTTTTGTCAATTGTTCTTTAGACCGTTAGCAACTTGATCTGATATTGCTATGCTTTGGATTAGCTTCCCAAATAGAAACTATCTGAGGGGCTATAATAGATTCAAATCAAAAAGTACTGGTGGGGAAGGGATAGTTAAACAATCGATATTTTTACCAGCCAAAGTGAAGTTTTTTTTACATACATGAAACATTTTGTGTATAGTTTTACCTTCAGAACTGGAAGAGTCGCTTCCCGATGGCCGAGAGGAGCTTAACCTGCTATGTCTTCGTGGAGTTCCCTTGTCTGTAAAACATTTTTTTATGGGCATGTTTAGTTCTGTTTGCAATTTAAATGCATCAAACAAACTTTGTTTTCATACAACAGCTGTCTTAATCTATGGTTTAACCTTCAATGACATAAATTGCTTATTCTTTTATTTGTATGTTTTATCACCATTCTATGTTTAAAATATTGAAACTATTTGAAATTCCAAGAAATATCGTGTGTATGTTTCACTTTTCCCCAATTTTAACATCATAAATTGATGAAACTCTCCATACACGTTTTTTGTGAATCATGTGTCAGCAGTGATTATAGTTTCACGCTGCCACAAGAATTTAAATGTGTTCAACATCAAACTTTGAGACCTTTCGCCATGGTAGTCATTAATCCCTAATATCAATAGTTTCCCGGGATTATTTTTTAAGAAAACCTTTATGCTATCCAAAGGAGAAAATCTAATCTGTGACCATGTTTGCAAATCACTACAAAAAATAGCTCTTAAGTATCATTTGATAAAAACTCATATCAGAGGCACGTAAACGTATTTATTTCTTACCTTGTTGTTTCAGTCTTTCAGAGATCTTTTTGAGTTCGTCCATCAACTAATTTATTAATGAAAAAATAGTATGTAAGAAAATAAATAAATAGAGATACATGTATTATCAAGGATATTCAAAGTGGTAGAATTCTCGAATCGGACGTTAAACAACATACAATCAATTAATCAAAGTGGACGACGGTCATTCATAAAAAAAAAGAGAAATTACTTAAGGAGGTTGGATCCTGCCATCAAAAGTAATGAGAATTTTTTATCAAGTATATTTTTAGAATTTATACACATAACTTTATTAAAAATCAAAACAAAAAATGGGGGTCAATGCACTTCCTTTGGCGCTACAGAGCATTTAGTTTGACCTTTTTGCACTGTAAATACGTCTTACTTATAAATCAATTTTTAAAGTTTTTCCTCCAATATTTTTGTTCAAATAAATTATGGGAACAAAAACAGTCTTATTTCATCTAAAATAGACACATTAAAATTTGTGACAATGAAGTATTTTTCAAATTACTCCGCATGTTCAATTATTTGACCTTTTTGCACTAAAACATTTTCATTTTTCTGGCATTAAAAATTTAACAAGCCAAAAAATCGTTTGAAAGTAATGACATTTTACTGAATTTAAGAAGAATGGTTAAAAGTATCGTATATATTCAGAAAAGAAAATTAAAAGTGAGGGTCTGTGATGTTAATTTTTAGATATAACTAAAATAGTGCTAATTTTAAGCTTAAATTAGGGCTATTTTTTTCTTCATTTTCACAAAATATTTGCTATATTTATCAAATATGATGATAGAATTCATGACAGTTTATTTAATAGATAATTTAGGACCAGTATAAAACAGTCCACTGCACAAAATAACTATGTGTGCAGACTGCATGTAAAAATAGGAATCCAAACTTAACATACTTTGAATACTTCGAAAGAGAAAAAATGATCATTCTCTTCTAAGAAAACCTTCCGCCACAAAATATAGTTCCTCACTTAATGCTTTTGGTATGGAATTTAATCATGGAGTTTTAACTGAATATAGTTAAATTGGCATTGTAGAATCCAAATTTATTGTAAGAATTAAAACATTATGCAGAATTTTTGAAATATAGGTTAAGATAAAAATCTGCTCAAAAGCTCAGGAGCGAACCTCGTTAAGAAGTTTGTGTTTTCGTGGACGTAACAGGATAAGCTCTGAGATCGAGGAAGTTTGTTTTGAAATTTAAAAGCCGAGGCATTTATATTTAAAACATTATTTAAACCAAGGAGGTAATCCTGCATCAAACACGATAAAAATGCTCTAAAATACAGCTAATCATTTCCTTTATAGAGAAACGAATTAGATCACGATGTCGCGATTAGGCTGTTCCATTTAAAACCAAATGGTCAATCTATTTGTTTACTTGTGCAAAGGAATGCAGACGATTTGGGCTTTCGTTGGATTAAAGATATCCTTTAATAATTATAAATTTGAAACATGAATTGACTAATTTTATGATTATAAATGGCAGAATCAGTTGTAGATGGTAAGATCACGGAGTGTAGATGTTGTAGGGATGTCCGTGGAACAACGCCCTTTAGATGAAAAATCGACATCAGCTTCGTTTGACAATGCACAACCTTCTGATTGCAGAGGAAGACACAGAAGTATGGTCTAAATAAGAATTACGTTCTATATTTATCTATAGTTATCCTAGTTAATGTAATATCAATACCTTTTGGTTATTTTCCATCATTTCTCTTTTCATCGTCTTCATTTCTTTTTTCAACACCTATAAAGAAACATTAATTTTGTGACCCAGCAGAAACTTTTACAGCTTCTCAAAAATGTCAAATGTGTTAACATAAAAGGAATATTCAGTGTATAAATAACGGCCTAACAATTAGTATGAAAACGTCAGTCAGTATTCGACTTTATGATAGATCATATTTGCTAATAAAGGTCATTGTATCGACTACAGGCTTTGTGAAATTTTGACTTCCAACCAGACTGTTGATATCCTTCTTTTATCAACTTGTTTATCATAAATTTCATAAATTGTTCGTAGGTAGAGCGTTCTATTGCATATCGAATCAACTGAGAGACATAAACTCAATATGCAGGTGATAAGGGTATATTTCTTCATAAGTAAGGGAACTTGAAGTTAAAAAACTTGAAGTCATCACTTCATTATAAATTTTTCTTTTTAGGTTACCATTAACGTCTTTTTTCTAGTAAAATATCCAAATATGAAACAGATGCGTCAGACTCTGAGGTATCTTTTATTTCATGGGATACATGCATATGATTCGAATTTATTGTTTATAAATCGACAATGAATAAATATATATATATATATATATATATATATATAGGTATATGAGGTTGTTTGTGGGCACCGACCTTCTAAACAGGTTTGTGGGATCTCGCATTTCTACATTGAATAGCTATGTCATATTCATGATTTAAGCGTTATATATGGTCCTTATATAATATATAATATAATTTTTGAGATAAGGTTAAAAATGTTGTATATCATTGTGGGTCATTATTTTCATATATATAGAGCATTGTGGGATAAAGTATATACATCGCACAATGCTCTATTTATGAATATTATGACCCACAATATTATCACATGCTATATATATCATGTCCTGGATTTCACAATGAAAGACATAAGAATTAATATTTGATATAAATAATATATATGTATATTTACATATGCACAAAATAGAATGAATCATTAAGAACAGTTTTGGGGGATTCAATATAAGATTTTAACTATTACTTTTCAAGTATTTTGGGGTCATATTGCATATTAATGACTCACTGCGATATACGATTTGTGAGATTCTGAACAAGATATTTTAGGGATATCCTCTCTCTCTATATATATATATATATCCCACAATCTCTTACATACACATATATATAGTGACAAAGATGATTAATCAAATAATGTCCATCCCACAATGTATTATTTATAATTTATTTATTCATTAAGCAATGTTAGATATTGAACGGCATATTTTATCTATACACCTACTTATCCCAGATTTTCTTATATACATATATATAGTGAACCACATTTAAGCATTGAATTCTTATTTTTGAAAGTAATTATACAGGTATAATCACTGCATTGATTCCATAATGTCCAATCCGTAACGTATTTTTATTGATTCAACATATAGGATAGCAGACTAATATTATGAGATTCTACACTACATATTTTATGCAATCGCCTGTCCCACAATTCGTTATATACATGTATATATATAGTGACCCACAAACAGCTATGATCACTATACGTTTATAACATAATGACCTTCCATTCGTGAATTATTTATTTAAACAATAAAGAGCTTATCAACCTTATATTATGAGATTTTAAAGACAATATCTTACGTATATGCTTACATATCCAAAAGTTTATTATAGACATATTTATATCGTGACCCACAACCAGGTATAATCACTATATTTATCCCACAGTTCATTATATACATATATATACAGTGACCCACAAACATGTATATTCACTATATTTATCCCACAATTCATTATATACATATATACAGGGACCCACAAACATGTATAATCACTATATTTATCCCACAATTCATTATATACATATATACAGTGACCCACAAACAGGTATAATCACTATATTTATCCCCCAATTCATTTATACATATATACAGTGACCCACAAACTGTTACAAGCACTACATTTTTATATACATTATATACAGTGACCAACTATCAGGTATAATCACGTGCAATATATTTATCCCACAATTCGTCATATCTATATATACAATGACCCACAAACAGGTATAATCACTTCATCTATCCCATAATTCAGTCCGTTACCATAATATATTTACTATTACCATAATTTATTTATTCAACATACAGCTTATCAGCCATATATTAGAAATTCTTAACAAAATATTTTATCCCTGCGCCTACATATCCCACAGTTGCTATATACGCATAGAAAGTGAAATAAAATAGGTATAATCATTACCTTAGCCCGGTAATGTCCATCTCATAATATTTTATTCATTTATTCAATATTATGACATTATTAAAAATATTATTTCATGCATAACACCTATACTTATCCAATAATTTCTTACATATACATGTAGTGACCCACAAACTGGTGCATTCATTAGACTGATCCCGTAATGTTTATCGTATCGTACTAATATTTTATATATCAATATACAGCTAATTAGCCTTATATTATGACACTCTTGCATGTTACACTTTTCTTGCAATCGCTTACTTTTCAAACAATTTCTCATATACATGTAAATCATGTATATAGTGACCCACAAACAGGTATTAGAATGTACTATACATTGATCCCATAATGTCCAACTCGAAAGTGTATTAATTATTTATTCATTATGCAACTTATCAGCCGAATTTATTTGATTCTTAACAAGATATTTTATCTAAACGCCTCCTTATCCCAGAATTTCTTTTAAATGTAATTATTATTTAACCAAAAACAAGTATAATCATCGCGTTTAAATCCCTTAATGGCCAATCCATAACGTATTTTGTTCTTTATTCAACATACAAGTTATCAAATTAATATTATTAGATATTCACAATATATTTCATGTAATCGCCTGTTTATCCAACAATTCGTAATATACATATAGTGACCCACAAACTGGTATGATTGCTAAATTAATCACATAATGTCCATCCCAAAATGTATTATTTATTTCTTCAACACAGAGCTGCTTATCACCTTATATTATGAGATTTTTAACAAGATATATTTAATCTATATATATGCTTACGTATCCAATAGTTTTTATGCATATTTAAAAATAGTGAACCTCAGAGTGGCATATAATCACTTTATTTATCCCACAATATATTTATATATACATATGCACAGTGACCCACAAACATGCAGGTATAGTGACTATAGTTATCCCACAATTCGATATATACATATATACAGTGACCCACAAACAGGTATAGTGAATATAGTTATCCCACAATTCGATATATACATTTATACAGTGACCCAGAAACCGGTATAATCACTTCATTCATCACATAATGTCCATCCCATACCATAATATCATTATAATATGATGATATTCTTATCATTGAAGAGAAAGGTTTAAAGCGTCAAGTGCCTGTGCATTGGTCCTAATAATTTACAGGAAGGGGGTGCACCCTGTGAAAAATTTTACATAATGTACAGTAGTTAAGAAGATTTTAAAGATTGTATGAATTTTGATGGATATATGCCGACACAACAAACATCAAAAGGCTAATTTAAAACTGCAATATTCCGACTAATATTATCTGCTGAACACACTCAACAAAATGTATTTGAAAGCAAATATATGACAAGAAATTTTACTCCCATTTTACACAACTTTGATATTATTCAATAAGAATTACTAATAGTTAAACATCTCATTTAATAAATATTCTTATTATAATCGACCTTCATAATCCACCCATTTCAATTCAATTGACTGAGTATTAACGAAGAATATTTTACAACCAGGGTTTTAATTTGCCCGTACAGGTCCGACAGCACCAACCCATTTTACCAACACTCGAATTTTGACAATGGAAGGACATTTTCAATAAAGAAGTGATAAATTTTATACCGAACACATCTATCGTATTCTGTATCATAAACCGACAATGCAAACGGCGTGATATCTGACATGTACATGTACATTGTGAACAGAATCAATAAAGTTAATTTTGATAACTGGTCATCATGGTCATTATTTAGGGGATTATTATTGAAGGATGATTCTAAGATTTGATCCTGAGAGAGGATTTTGGGGCGGGCCATGTCTCTTTTATTGTTTCCTCACAAACCAACCTAATTTGAATACAACTTTATTTTGTACGATATAGGTATCGATACACACAGATTAAAAAAAGAAATTCGTGATACATGTATGTTGATATTGAAAAATATATATCATTTTTCATATCTGTTCTGTAAGTTAAAAAAATATCAAAAATTATAAAAGGTTTGGTATAACTTTAGGAGTAAGGGATTGAACGGAGACCCGCTGAGAAAACTGCGTTTAAAGAGGTTCGCTCCTCAGATTTTGAGCATATTTTTGGTTTGATGTCTATTAAAAAAATCTGCATATTATTTTAGTTCCTTCAATAAATTTTGAGTCTACAATGCCAATTAAACTATATTCAATTAAAATTCCAAGATTAAATTCCATACCAAAAGCATTAGGAGAGGAAATATATCTTCTGACGGAAGTTTTTTTTTTTTTCAGAAAAAAAATGAGATTTTTCTTTTTCAAAGAATTTACACCACTGTTAAGTTTGAATTCCTATTTTTCCATGCAAGTTGCACACAGAGTTATTCTGTGCAGTGAAATGTTTTATCTTGGTCCCAAATTATTCATCAAATTAACTGCCATGAATTTTATTATCATCTTGTGAAAAATATAGCAAATTTATTGTGAAAGTCCAGATAAAATAATAGCCTCACTTTATGCTAAAAATTGACACCATTTAATAATATCTATGAAAAAAGAAAAAAATTACATAAACCCCCACATTTAATTTTTTTTAATATAATTATAACCATTCTGCTGAAATTCAGCAAAATCTTTATATTCTGAAATGATTGACTGCTTGTTTAATGTTTAACGCCGATTATTCTGTTTAAATGATCAGTTTTTGAAAGTTTTGGTTTCTCTGGTTGCCCCCGATGAGCCTACTCTTTTTCGAAATCCAGAGAAACGATCTTGTTGTAATC